AACAAACAAAAACAGCTTCCCCCAGGCCCAGAAGCAGCACCCCTACCCCCACCCACTGGTTCCTCCTCTCCCTGCCCTCCTGGGTCAGTGGGCAGGAATTGGGGCCAGATCTGTGTGTCTTCCAGGACAAGGGACCAAGAAACCTGAACTTGTTGGTGGGGGGACGGGCATGAGAAGGTTCAAGAAGTGATGACAAAAATCTTAAAGTCTTCATTCCCTTTGGGAAAAGGAGAAGGTTGCAAGCAAGAAGGCGTGCTTGGGGAAGATGAGCCAGGCATGCAGTGGGTCAGCATTTTAATGATAGTCCTCAGGGGCGGGGTTGCCTGAGGAGCCTTTGCTCACCTGTGCCCAAATGTCTGCTCTGAGCTGGCCTCTGACGCTGCTGAGCACTCGTCCGGGCACCTTCTTGCAGCTGGCGAGGGCAGCCTGCCTGCCGACTACCCATCCAGGACAACCAGTTCAGCACCGATCCAACAAAACCACGTGCCTTCAGAGCCGCAGGTACCTGCCCACTGCCCCCCTTTCCGTAGGTGGTGACCCAGGCCAAGGCTGGTCGGGGTGGAATTTACCGCTGGTGTAGAGAGTGAGTGGAGTCCCACTGGTGTCCTCTCAGGGTCACGTCTTAGTTATTGTGTTGTTGTTATCAGTACTTGTTACTGAACAAGTAGGACAGATTTTGAGAGCAGGACATGGTTGTCTTTCATGCCCCAAACCTCCTCCTCTCCTTCCCCCCACCCCCCCCTTTTTCCTCCTTGGACCCTTCTGTTTCTTCTTTCCTGATGTAGCTCTTCAAACACTATATTGCCCCTGCCAGAGCCCATTTCTGGGCAATATAAGTATTAGTCATTTGCACCATAGTATAAATAAGTTTATGTGAGTCTGTCTTTGTATCTTGATTTAGGACTAAACTGCTGTGTCTATTGTGAAGCATTTAGGGCTTCTGGGCAGGAAGAGGAGGAATTTTGGAGGTGTGGAAGATCATTTACCTCTAAAATAGTTTTTAGACGTGGATGTAGTCCCTTTTCCTCTTTCAGAAGATGGGATGTGTTCAGGCCTTCTGGCTCAGCTTAAACATAATTTTCAGTTGTTGGCAAGAGAATCCAGTGTATCCCCAAGTAATTAGTGTCAGAAGTGAATTGAATTGTGGGACACACAGTTGCTGACAGAACTGGTTCCTGGTGTGGGGAAAAGCCAGAAATGGTGTGAGTTTAAGAGAGATAGAGAGAGAGAGAGAGAGAGAGAGAAAGAAAAAAAGCTTCATCCCTCAACCAAAGGGCAAAGTTATCTAGAGACACAGGAAGTTGACCGTGGTTTGGAGAGAGACAGTGCCCCTGCCCCTTTCTGTGTCTTTCATTGGTTAATGACCTCGGACTAAGGAAGAGGGATGGCAAAATGCAGAGTCCATGGAGCCAGCGTCCCTATGGTGACCATGTTGTGTCTTCCAGGGAAGCTCTGACTTCCCGAAACGGGGTGAGGTGGTGGCCCGCACGCAGCCTTGGTGGGCAGCCACTGCGAGGCCCGGCAGCCGGTTCTCAGGGCTCACGAGCTTGGTGGTGACGGTGACGGTGACGCAGGCTATTTGGAAAAGCAGCTCGGGTAGTTGGCAGCTGGCATAGCTCACCCCGTGACCCGGGCACTTGGCTTCCGCTGAGCACACTGCCGGGTCAGGCAGAGAAGGCCTGGACTCGGGCCCACGCGGGGGCAGCTTCCCCAGAGCGCCAAGAAGTCCGGAAGGAGCGTGTCTCTCTCTCTGTCTGCGTTCAGCCAAGGTGCCGGTTGGTTTGCAGACGTCGTTTCCCTCAGGCCAGACTCCAGAGAGGGCTGGGCTCTAGGATGCGCCGCTGGTGGTACAGCCCACCAGCGCCCGCAGTGTCCTGGCCTGAGCCTGCCAGCTTTCCTCCGCCAGCTGTTTACTCCACGCCCTTCCGAGCCCCGCCCTCTCCCAGGTGTGCCAGCCCTGCCTCTGCTTTGAATAAACACCCAGGCCCTGTAGGCCTCCTTTGAGGGCTCTTGGGGCATTAGTCATCTTCCTCCGAGATCAGCCCTCTCAGAGGCTGCGAGGCTCTCTCTCGTGTTGACAGCATGCAAAAAAGAGGGCCGTCGTTAGAGAAACAGGCTTCGTGGACCCTCCTCCCTGGCGCCCTTTCCACCTTGTGTCTCTTGGAAGGCGGTTCATTTGCAGGCCTGGCCCGACATGGCTGCCATCGCAGTGTCCACCACCCTCCCCCTCCCCCCAGCAGAATGCACTTTCCCTTCCCGGTCCCATCGCAGCTCGTGCTTGTCAGATACTTACAGTCAGGTGACCGCCGCCACAGCCAGGATAGAAGAGAATTGTCCCCCACATTTCTGCATGACCTTGTAGTCAAAGTCTCCCTTCACCCCAGCCCCTGGCACCCCCTGCTCTGGTGTTTTTGCCTTTGCAAGAACAGGCACGTGGATCGGAAAGCGTGTAGCCTTCTCAGTCCGGCTTCGTTCACTCAGCGTAAAGCACTTGCTATATGTATCTGTGGCTCATGCCTTTGCACTGCCGAGTACCCATAGCATGTTCCCCAGGTGTCTGCATGGACCTCCTCTGTCCTCTCCTGGGTGTTTTTCTGTCTGCCTCCCCGGTGCACAGCCAAGCCCGTCCAGGGCTGGTCTGTGCCTTGCCTGCCTCTGTGTCCCCGTGACAGGGCCTGGGCCAGAGCACTGGGCACTGCCTCGCCACGGGGTCGGAAGTGTCTGCCTGGGCAGCAGGGCCCCTGCAGAGGTCTCGCCTGCTCCCTGCTCAGTCTGTTCAGCAGGCGACCTGGACCAATGCCATTTGTAAGCCACTCCCACCCTCAGTTTGGTGTCTGTGATGGGCAGGGTGCCAGCACTTGCTGGGGGGCTTTGGCGGGTTCTCTCTGGATCCCCTGACTCTGGGGCTCCATGCCATGAGTTCCTGGGCATGTGTGAGTATGCGCCTGTCTAGTTCCTCCCAGGCCAGAAAAGCCCTCTCTGGGCCTGGTTTTCACTGAGTCACAGCTGCCCTAGCTTGTTAGTTAAAAATAGGCCTGGCATTCCCGCCTGGGACAGGCCCTCCCACCTCAGGCTGACGCTGAGACTCTTCTGTAAATATTTGTAGGAGCTTAGGCTGGGATCATTTCTATTCCAGGATCTTCTTGCCTTGACTCCTGGAGCGGTGAGGGGACGGTGTGGCGGAGAGTGAGGGCCAGCATGCGTTAAGAACACTCGGGGTAGCGGCACAGTATTTGGGAAGGGGCTGGCGTTCACTGTGGTTCCTAGAAGCCACTGGAACTGGCTGTAGGGACAGTGGCTCAGCTGAAAATCCAGTTTGAAATCAGACTGACCGGCATTGTTCAAACCCCATTTCTGCTCCTTGCTGGCTCGTGGTCTTAGACAAGTTACATGACTGACTCCTGAATGCCAGTTTCTCCGTATGTGTTATCTACCCCGCTCGTGCGGTTGTGGGAATTAAATGATCCCATGTGTGAAGTGCCTGGCAGGAGCCAGCATCGTTTAGTGTGGCTGCTCCTACAGGCACCTCTAGTCTTGCCAGCTGCTCTGCCAGCTACCATTCCGCCTTTGCATGGGACATGTAAGGGAAGAGCTAGAACAGTGGTCGGCAAGCTCATTAGTCAAGAGAGCCAAATATCAACAGTACGATGATTGAAATTTCTTATGAGAGCCGAAAACCAACTTCCGCGCATGGCCCACGAAGTTTCAATCACACTGTACGTGCGTGTCGCACGTGGTATTTTGTGGAAGAGCCACACTCAAGGGGCCAAAGAGCCGCATGTGGCTCGCGAACCGCGGTTTGCTGACAACTGAGCTAGAGGTTCTGAAAGAAGGACAGCGGAGTGTCCACATGCATGTCCAGGCTGCTCAGATCTCATCATTGCTGAGTTCAGCCTCTACAGTGTCCTTAAATCACTTCAGCAGCTGCCCAGTAGGGCTGGTAACTCAGGACTCAACAGCCGCGAGAGGACAGTAACCGAGCTGAAAATAGAAGTGTCCCATGAGGACCGCGCAGGCCCCTGGGGAAGGGCCCAGCAGTGTCTGCCCATCCAGGCAGAGCCGGACTCTGGGCATCGGGCTGCAGACCTTCTCCCGAGAGGCAAGCCAGGCTTCCTTGGCCCAGAAATCCTGAGGGTACGTGTCCTGTCTCGCCCACCGCTCCTGGCCAGAGGCTACAGAGCCGCCCTCCGAGAAAGCAAGCGGGAGAGGAGGTTGGCAGCTAGGGGTCTGGTGGTAGCGGGCACCAGAGCCTGGCAAGCCAGTGAGTGGGGTGGGCTGGACTGGTTCTGGCCTTGGTTTCGGGGTGTGAGGGAGCCACTGGGAGCATTTTTAAAGGTGGAAAGTGAAGCCGGGCTATCTAAGAGGGCAGAGTAGGAGAGGCTAGACCAGGCCATTTCGCTGATGTTTTTTGTTGTTGTTTGTTTTCTGGTTGTTTTCTTTCTGGTTAATCCTCAATCAAGGATATTTTTCCCATTGATTTTTCTTTTTTTAGGGAGAGTGGCTGACAGAGGGAAAGACAGAGAAACATCGCTGTGAGGGAACTATATCGACGGTTGACTCCCTCAGGGGCACTGAGTAGGGCCGGCCGGGGAGGAGCCGGCAACCAAGGCACGTGCCCTTGACTGGAACTGAACCCAGGACCCTCCGGTCCGCAGGCCAACGCTACATCCCCTGAGCCAAACTGGCGAGGCCTTGTTGGTTTTTTTGTTTTGTTTTGTTTTGTTTTTTGTGTTTTTTTAAGGCCCCAAACAGGTCATTGTGTCTGAATATAAGTGTGTCAGAAGCCAACCAGGGGATGCCCACACAGAAAGGTCCAGCCTCCCCGTTGCAGGAAGGTGCCCAGACGGGCAGCTCTGTGCTCAGAGCAGCCTCCCACTGTGACTGTACATCGTGTCTGACTGCTGCTTCCTCCCGTGCAGGTGCCACCATGGAGTCTGACTTCTGCTGACCGGACCCGGGCAGGAGGGCACAGCCGAGGCCGCGGCCTGTAGCCAGTCGCCATGGCTTCCCCCAGCGCGGAGAGCCAGCTCCTGAGGATCATCCGTGATTTGCAAGGTACGGTCAGGCCGCTGGACATGCGGGTTTGGTGTGGAGGGAGCTGTGACTGTGCTTTTGCTTTTGCTTTTGCTTTTGCGGTTGAAGTTCAGCCCTTTCATCTGGGTTCACACAGGGAGGGTTGGGGCGGACATTGATTGGAGCGCTCAGGACACAACATATTGAAATAAATATTCGGGGCTCAGCTGTCCATCCTGTAGGGCTGGGGGAGCCCACGGGCCCTCCTCTCCGGGATTGTAAGGGCTCTCTGCAAACAAAAGCAGATACTCCTTCCAGATCCGGGTCTGGGTGTGTGTGTGTGTGTGTGTGTGTGTGTGTGTGTGTGTTCTTGGCTGCAGCACGCGTCTCTGGGCTCTCTGATGGAGTGGGGGAAGAATATTCTCCTTCCCTCTGAGCAGGAAGACCAGGCACCGGTCTTTCTTGTTTTGCTGTCTCTCCTGCTGGCGGTGGGCAGGAAGCCTATCCTGGACGAACTCCCGGAACTCCGGCTGTGGGCCTGCTGCTCCCAGGCATCGCAGCCGGGAGCAGCAACTGAGCCTGAGGGTGCAGAAGGGAGGCCCTTGTCACCCCTCCCCCGCCCCAAGCGCTCAGTGCACAGCAGTGACCTAACCTCATTGCTAGCTTCTCGTCTGTACAATCCTACGTTGTCCTTACTCTTTTTCATGTGTTCACAGCTCTCGCGTTGGGATCATCTTAAAATCAATTGCATCTTAGATTTGTCAAAATAAGGCACTTCCTGCCTCCCGTGGCTACATTAAAGGGGAAGGACTTGCAAAGGCCTGGCCGCTAGCTGGGTCCCGTTAACAGAAGCAGGGACTGTTGTCATTCTTGCGATTGTCACATCACTATTTGCACATTCTGGGTCATCTTGAAGCCTGGACTTCCCTGTGCTGAGCGGTGAGGTGAGAGTGAAGAAGCACAGAAACATGGCCAGAACGAAGGGGAAGGCTTTCTGCCCAGTGCAGCTTTGGGCAGCCAGTGCTAGGGGACTGCTCCATGATGCATCCACACAGCAAACATCTGTTGACCCAGCAGTGCGAGGCCCGAATGGTGGGCCTGCAGGGATGGCCCGGGAAAACGCCCACCCAGGGAGCTGTTGCAAGGTGCCTGTGGGCTCTGACACCTTAGCGCAGTGGTTGGCAAACCGCGGCTTGCCTGCCACATGTGGCTCTTCGGCCCCTTGAGTGTGGCTCTTCCAAAATACCACGGCCTGGGCGAGTCTATTTTGAAGAAGTGGCGTTAGAAGAAGTTTAAGTTTAAAAAATTTGGCTCTCAAAAGAAATGTCAATCGTTGTCCTGTTGATATTTGGCTCTGCTGACTAATGAGTTTGCCGACCACTGCCTTAGCGCCTTCTGGCTTGGTCTTACGTCCCTGGATGTGCATACAGCACTTCACTTTTGCGAGGTGCTTTGCCATCACCGACCACTGCCCAGTTATCCTGCTTCCCAGTTATCCTGCTCGTCTCCGGGAGGTTGGCCTCCACCTGGTGATGTGTTCCTGTTTGTTGTCTTAAAGATGCTGTGACAGAACTAAGCAAAGAATTTAAGGAAGGCGGGGAACCCATCACAGATGACAGCACCAGCTTGCATAAGTTTTCTTACAAACTTGAGTACCTCCTTCAAGTAAGTGACCCTGAAACGTGTTGATTTCTGCTCTGTTGTCTTGTTTCCCTGATGGGAGACTCATCAGCTTCGAGGATGTGTTCCAGAAAGCTCAGTGGAGCCATTAGGCCATCCTGCTTAGACCGAAGGTCAGAGCAGTCCCCGTCTCAAGCTCGGGCCTCCAAGTGCTATCCTCTGGGGATCTGGCAAGTTGCCCCTTGGGATGATTTGGGAATCCAGAACATACTTTAGAGACTTAGGTCAGCTTAAGGCCGGTAGCAAGGTTCCTGTCTAGCAGGGATCTTAATTTGGGGCAGTCGCGTCCCCTTTTGAAAATCATGTGAAAGCTATGGAGTCTCTTCCCAAACAGACATGCTTATGTGAACACACCAATCACATGTGGCAGGAGCATGTGGGCCTCTGAAGGTTATCCAGCGGCCTGTGCTAGAGCCTTCCTGCCCAAAGTGGTGTGGTCCGTAGGCTGCAGCACCAGCTCACCCAGGGACAGGCTGGAAATGGACGCCTGGTCCCCCCTCTGAGGTCAGCCAGGGAGTTTTGTTTTGTTTTTTCACACACTCGCAGCCTAATGCTTGTGTCCGCTGGTTCAAGTGCACAGACCAGAGCACTCTGCAGATGCAGAAAAGCCCATCAACTACAACAGGAAGGAAACGGACCGATATGTTAACAGAAGTTAATCTTGGGCATTATAATCTTTTCTATTTTAAAAAAATATTTTTTTTATTTTTTAAAATATATTTTATTGATTTTTTTTATTTTTTTTTTGCCCCCCTCCCTCCCATACGTACTCTCCCTCCCCAGAGTTTATTTTTATTGATTTCAGAGAAGAAGGGAGAGTGGGGAGAGAGAGAAGCATCAATAATGAGAGAGAATTATTGATTGGCTGCCTCCTGCACACCCCCCTACTGGGATTCGAAGCCACAACCCAGGCATGTGCCCTTGACCAGAATCGAACCCGGGACCCTTCAGTCTGCAGGCCGACGCTCTATCCACTGAGCCAAACCAGCTAGGGCATCTTTTCTATTTTTTAAAACCCAGATTTCCTAACATATCTGCATGTCTTCTATAGTCAGAGAAATGCATGCTATAAGATGTTGCGTTATAGAAAGATGTGCCAAACATTTTGAGCACCATTAGTTTCCCGCGTCACATCCCACCAAGGTATACAGGATGAGAGCCTGCTGGGGGGTGCCCAGCCTGTGAAGGACTCCTGCCTGTGCCCTTTCAGCCCATTCTCTGTTTTACATTGTGAATATATTTATGGGCTTTTTCTTTTCTTTTTTTTCTTTCTTTCTCATGTTTAGGTTTTGGATTTGAAATGACTCATAGCTGACACTTACTTGAATTTATTGTATTAAAATACTGACTCTTGCCGAAACTGGTTTGGCTCAGTGGTAGAACGTCGGTCTGCGGACTGAAAGGTCCCAGGTTTAATTCCGGTCAAGGGCATGTACATTGATTGTGGGCACATCCCCGGTGCGGGGTGTGCAAGAGGCAGCTGGTCGATGTTTCTCTTTCATTGACGTTTCTGGCTCTCTATCTCTCTCCCTTCCTCTATGTAAAAAATCAATAAAATATATTAAAAAAAATAAAATAAAACCCTGACTCTTGGGTAACGCGATAAAATCCACTAACTCATTTCCTTAAGTTGAGACCTAGTTAACATACTTCATGTTGCCCTTAAGACTTTTCACTTGTATTTCTTTGTCATAAGTCTATCTAGGCTGTTCCTAGCAAACTTTGGTGGTCTTCCACCCAATGCTCTGCACAGAGATCTCTTCAAGAGATAAATCTTTTTGGGGGGTGAGGGGTTGACTGGCTTCTATTCCTGAATCTTAATAGCTGTATGACCTTGAACTAGTTGCTTAACCTCTCCCAGCCTCAGATCCCCTATCTGTAAATTGGGGATTACAGCACCTTCATTTGACAATAAATAGAAATAATCCCTGCAGAGGGCCCTGCCCAGTGCCAGGCAACCAAGAAGCTGTGGTTATTTCTCATTTAACGAGAGGAACAGCAGTGGGTTTGGACAGCCTGTCTCTTTCCCTTTTCCTACCCAGTTCGACCAGAAGGAGAAGGCCACCCTCCTGGGCAACAAGAAGGACTACTGGGATTACTTCTGTGCCTGCCTGGCCAAGGTGAAGGGCGCCAACGATGGGATCCGATTCGTCAAGTCTATTTCCGAGGTAAGCAGAGCAGCCAGGGACCCCACGTCTTCCTGTCACCGAGACCTTTGCTGCAGACAATCAAGTGAGGAAGTGGGGTTACGGGTGGTGAAGTGAAAACATCAGCCCAGGTACACGCAGTGCCCATTGTCAGCACAGGGAAGCCGCCCACACGAGCCTTCACCCAGCCGGCCCTGCAGACCGCAGCCCACACTTCACAGCGGGCTGTTCGCACTGTGGGCTGCCGTGGGCCCCCGGGGGTGTGCAGCACCTTCTGAAACTATCGGTTTCTTAGATAAATTCTTCACGTTTGCTGGGCTGTTTGTCTGCAGGTTTTCCAGAAACCTTAGATTTGAAATGAAGAGAGTGATGTGGGGTCTTAAGAGACATTACACGCCGGTGTGCTAAGCAGCTTCCCACGTTAAGTTCGAGCCCCTAGAGCAGAATGCCATGGCTCCTCTTGTTTTGCAAAACTCCAGAACCATCGCTCTCTTTCTGTCTCTGTGTCTCTCTCTCTTCTGTCTCTCCCCCATCTCCCACTCCTGAGGAATCTCTTTTTCTCTCATAAGCCTAGTCCCGTGGTCGGCAAACTGCAGCTCGCAAGCCACATGCGGCTCTTTGGCCCCTTGAATGTGGCTCTTCCACAAAATGCCACGGACTGGGCAAGTCTATATTGAAGAAGTGGTGTTAGAAAAAGTTCAAGTTGAAAAAATTGGCTCTCAAAAGAAATTTCCATCGTTGTCCTGTTGATATTTGGCTCTGTGGACTAATGAGTTTGCAGACCACTGGCCTAGTCCATCTGAGAGTGAGAACTTTACCTATTAGGGTAAGTGACCCCCTGGATTCAGAGCAGGAAGCCCAGAGGTTCTGAACATTTCACCTTTTCAGTGTCTTGTCTATAAATTTTTTTTTTTTTTTAAATATATTTTATTGATTTTTGTAGAGAGGAAGGGAGAGAGATAGAGAGTTAGAAACATCGATGAGAGAGAGTCGTCGATCAGCTGCCTCTTGCACACCCCCTACTGGGGATATGCCCGCAACCAAGATACATGCCCTTGACCGGAATCGAACCCGGGACCTTTCAGTCCCCAAGCCGACACTCTATCCATTGAGCCAAACCGGTCTCGGCTCTTGTCTATAAATTTAAAGATATTTTAAAGGCAGCACCGTGCTCCTTGGCTGGCCTCCTGCGGAGACCGCAGCATCAGGTGACCACAGAGTCAGGTGCTCCCGGGAGAATTCCTTTCCAGCCCCAGAGCAGATGGTTTCTTCTTATAGAGAATGACAGATAGCCTGGCCTGAGCGCTGGGCATTTTCCACCAGCTGCGCCTCTGACATCTGAGCTCATGAAAGATCCCGACGTGAGGAGTGTGTCCTGCCAGTGTCTTTAATGTCCGCGTAGCGCAGGGTCTTGTGAGAGCTTGCCTGGTGGGCCACTTGGGTCTGTGATGTAGAGCAGTGCTTGCTGTACCCCAAATCCAGAGGGGGTGCTCAGTGTTGTCCCCCTCTCCATATGCCTAGGAGTTCCCTCACACTCCATCTCCCACTCCTCACAGCAACTGCAGCCTGTGACCGCCGACTGCCCACAGCTCAAGTCTGGAAGTATATTTAGTTTAATTCTCATTGCCTGGGGTTATGAAACGCTTACATCCACTCTTTAGCTGGCTCTTATTCTTTTTTTTTTTCTTCTTTAAAAAAAATTTTTTTTTATTGATTATGATATCACATAATTGTCCTCATCCTCCCATTCCCATCCCAAACCCCTACCCACATAAGCCCCCACCCCTCTATTGTCCGTGGCCACTGGCTAGGCCCATAGGCATGCACACAAGTCCTTTGGTTGATTTCTGCCCTTTAACACACTCCTTCCCCTCCCTCCCCCCCGCTTTCCCTCTGAGGTTTGAGAGTCTGATCGCTGCTTCTCTTTCTCTGGATCTGTTTTTGTTCATCGGTTTATGCTGTTCTTATTCTTTACTCACAATGCAGTCAAACCTTTCAAGGCCAGGGAACTGTCTTCTAGAAGCAAAAGCGCTCCCTGCTTGCACACACGTTGTGGGGTTTCTGGTGGCTGACGTAGGCTCCCCCTCCCAGAGGGTGCAGTCCCCCCATCTGCTGAGGACTCCGCTCTCTGGGCACCGCTGAGCTTGGGGTGTCACTGGGCAGGATGGGCTGCAGGTACTCGGGTTAATTTAATCAACAATCAAATGCTACCCCGGCCAGTAAGCCAGAAGGTAAAAGTTCATGGGCAAGGCCATCGCTGGGCACTCTGGCCCCTTTGGTCGGAGGAAGCCCTTTGGACGAAAGCAGTTGAGGGCCCTGGCCCACGGCTCCTAGAGGGTCAGGATGGGCTCGCGCCAGGCTCCGCGTCGCCCCACCATGGGCAGGAGCAGAACCTGCGTTCACTTGTTGTCAGGCGCCTGGCACATGGCCTGGCGTAAAGTGGAATCAGCTCTCGTGTGCCTTGCAGACTTCCTGCCCTTCACTGGTGCTGTATCGCTTCCTGGTAGACTACATGATATGAGTTCTGATTAATTGCTAACAAATTTCAAGAATTAGGCCATAAAAGCAAACCCAGGATCTAAAAAAGTAGAAAATAAAATAGCTAGGCAGTGTTTTCCTTTGTGATACAAAGGAACTACTGTGTTCAAAAGACCTTAGGGGTGTTTCAAAAGACCTTAAAATAAATAGCTCCTTTTCTGTCATAAAATACACTCTGTTGATAGGCCTGGTTAAAAACAGTGCCGTGACAGTGGCTGTTTCGCTCATAAAGACAAGCCGCTCGCTGGGAGCTCACAGGCACGGCTGTCCTGTGCGGCTGACGTGGTTCCGTGGGGCCGGTGGGGGTGGGTGTTCATGTGGCCGGCTCTCTTCTCCTCACCACACCCGCTCAGCTGCCGAGTTCCCTGCCTCACCACTGGACACTTTGTTCTGACTTCGCTCCTCAGTGGCAGAAGTGTTTGGACATAGTGATGTCATCAAGATCTCCCTTCCCCTCCAGGCATCTGTCACGGCCAAGTGATTGTACGCAGGCCACTGCGGTGTTATAAAGCCAGGGGCCAGGCTGCCACCGCCTCCCCCAGGCATCCTGACTTCACCCCACACCCACAGAGCTGACATGGAAAAATTGCAGCCTTTGTGATTCTTGAGGTTTCACACCTTTTTATTTTTTAAAAACAACTTCATGGGGTGGTATCATCTCCTTAGGGCAACCCTGCGAAGTCGGATAGCTCTGAGCTAAACGGTGCCTGGCCTTCTGGGCCCAACCATTGGCATGAATCCTGATTTGCAACTGGTCTCACGTGCCTTCTGTGGCTGTCCCCTAGGTCTCGTCCATCTTGGCTGCTATGTGTCCCCAGCTGGCCGAGTCTGACCAGCACACTCTCCTCAACAAGCTTCCAGAAACCTTTAGAAACCATGTTTTGTTACGGTGGGGAGAGGTTTCGAAGACAGGCCCATACCCAGGCCCTCCCGCCAGCTCCTACACCCTGAAATAGAACCGCACTCCTTTTCCATGACCCCCGCGTAGCTGAGCCACCTAGACGCACCCCTGTTTCCCACCCGGACAGCTGCTGACTGAATGAGAAACCCATCAGGAAAGTGTCTACGATAGATGCATGAGGGTGCAGAGGAGGCAGTTACACAGTCACTAGAACTTCTTAAAAGTCACCTTACACACCCCTGCCCTCCTTTCCCCTCCACAAAGCCTCTTCGCCAAGCAGCCAGACATTAGCCACGCTGGCCAGCTCTCCTCGGGCTCACCTCTGCCGTGAGAAGCCCTTTATCAGCCTCCAAGTTTCATTCTGAAAATTTCTAATTAAATCATACAGTTCTTCTCTGACTCCAAACCCAGAGACTGATGGAGAAGAGGAGGGACAGTGGCACCCCAGTGGAACCCAGGGGTGTTCAGAGCCTCGCAAACACATCTTTCTGAACCTGCCTATAGGTTATTCTATAGGTTATTCTATAGGTTATTCTATAGGCTACTCTCGGATGGAGGCCTGGAAGAAGGCGGCTCACTTCAGGCCTCGCTCTGGGGGATGATGTTTGTGTTCTTGGAGGGACCTGAGGGAAGCCAGTGTATAGGGTAGAACTGGGTGACGTCCGCGCTGTTTCTGTTTAATTAGGCCACTTACGGGTGCTCACAGACATGCGCCATTATGACTTAGGCTAACAGTTCTGCCTCCCCTGTGCCATCTTTTTCCAGCTCCGAACATCCCTGGGGAAAGGAAGAGCCTTTATCCGCTACTCGCTGGTGCACCAGAGGCTGGCAGACACCCTGCAGCAGTGCTTCATGAACACCAAAGTGACCAGGTACATGCCGACAGCTCTGGTTGACCCTGGCCGTTCACAGGCGAACCAGAGTCCCTGGTGAACGTAATGACACCTGCGCTGCAGTGTCTGTCCTTGTGGCAAAAGCCGAGTCCTCCCACATCTGTCATCCTTTTCACCCCCGGGATTGGGGGCAGAGAGCACTGAGTGTTGACAGGTGAGGAAGATGAGGTGCAGGGAGATGCTAAATGCACCGCCTCCCCCCCCCCCCCCAGGCTCCCCGTGCTGAGTCTGAGTCCTGGAGCAGGAGCATGGGTCCAGGTTGACCAGCAGTTTTCCCTGGGGGTGGCATGGCCTTGGAGCAGGCACTAATGAGTGCACACGTCCCACCTGTCACCCTGGCCTGTCTGCAGGATCACCTGTGGGGTTTTGAGCCCCACTGAGCCTGGGCCCGAGCCTCGCTGAGGTCACTGCACCTGCCAGGCACATCTGGGCTCCCTGGAGCCACTAGTGCTGACGCCTGGGGTCAGGGAGGAGTTGAGTGTGCAAAGCAAGTGGAGTGAGTGTGTCAGACCAGGACCCCTCTTCCAACTCTGCCTCCCTCTCCCTAGGGAATGTGCCTCCAGGTAATCAAAGAAATCACTGATGAATTTTAAAAAAAGAACTGTTGGGGGAACATACTTTGTTTCATTTTGCCACCTTTAAGGTGGATTTGCCTAAAGGTGTATTTCTCACACATGTGACACGTGAGGGGCTTTGTGAATTCGTGTGAGGTGAGAGAATCTTCTTCACACATTTGATTTGCAGGCTGTTTCCTTGTAGTCTTTTGGTGAGAACAGCTTGGCTTCCAGTGTTTAGGAAGCCAAGTTCAAGGGCATCAGCCAAGTAGCTCTTTAAACTCAGCAGCGTGTCCTTCTAAATTCTTCCTGCTCCAGGAAGTGAACAGCGGGCACCACACAGTGCAGATCTTTTGTTCTTTGTCTTTTAAATTGGTGTCAGGACAGAAATTAGCAGTGAGGTCGAGGTCCTGTAATGAATTCCCCAGGAGGAATCGCAGATGAGACAAAAAGGAAGTGTTCTGTCCCCTACAACTACCCTTTCTGGGCAAGTAATTGAGATTTAAGGTTTCTCATATCCTTTTTTGGGAAAGAGATCTAACAGAAATAATAACTGTCATAAGTATCTAGTTCATCTCGGACATTTCTGTGAAGAGCAGGCTTATAGGGGAGTTAGGAGCTGTGGTGAAAATCACACGGGGCTGAGGGGGGCATGTGTCTGACTGTCTGTCTGTTCACCTGAGTGGCCTGTGTTAGAATTGGATGGGCAGTGCCGAATTCGCTCTTTCCTTTCCTGCATCTCTTGTAAGCTCACCCTGTACGTTCCCCTGCAGTGACTGGTACTATGCCCGGAGCCCCTTTCTGGCGCCGAGGCTGAGCTCTGACATTGTGGGCCATCTCTACAAGCTCACGGACGTCCAGTTTGACCTGGTGTCCAGGGGCTACGACTTGGACGCGGCCTGGCCGACGTTTGCCAGGTACTGTAAAGAATTGCTTGATTTAAAAGATTGGGGGGGGGAGGGTGTTTAAAGTTTTAGAAATGGCCACCGGTCTACTCAAATCACCTTTGTACCCAAAGCAGCTCTGTATGCTCAGTAAGTACGTAAAGCTTCGCCACTCTCACGCCTGTTAATTGTACAGACTTTGTTGAGCTGTGACTCACTAAACATCTGAAGGCTCCAGCCGTAAGCTGACCTCATTGGCCAGGTAGCATGAGGGGAAATGCATAGGCAAAGGCCAAGGTTTTTCAGTGTTATGGGACCGTGTGCCAGTCTGGGGAGGAGCGGGTGGGCCTTTTCCCGTTCGTGTTCCGGGGGTTATGGAGGCTCCAGGCAGGAAGTGGGAGTGGAAGCTACAGCCCAGCCATGGAAGGGTTTCTGGGAAGGTTGCCACGTTTTCACTTTTTACACCAAGGTGGCACTCAACACGTCACCCCGCTGAATCCTGACCACCACACCAGGAGGGAGGGGCTGAGGACACGGGCTTAAAGAGGGGACTTGCCCACAGTCACACAGCTGGTGGGCAGCAGAGGCAGGCCTGCACCCAGCTCCCCAGGACAGCCACCTGACCCGAAGCAGGTCTGTGAAGCAGTGACCATGAGCCCTAAGCACAGGGCGGCCTTCATGTAGCACGTTGACTGCGCCTTGTTCCTCGCTAGCAGACAGACTGAGGCAGGCACCAAGAGTTAAGGAAAATTTAAACCAAAAATTGGGAAATACTGTGCTCACTTAGTTGTTGTTTGGCACTGGGGGAAAGCCATCATGTGTCAACTTTAGCAGCAGACCGATGTGAATGTGCCCTTTGGTGGAACAGTCTTACACTGTATCTGGGAGGGCATTGTCCTCCCCATCCCCCCGCCCCCACCTGGTTTCCGTGCACGTGTGTGAGCTTCCTCTGTGATACAGGTGTGTCTGTCCTATGCCCCGCAGGAGGACACTGGCCCCCGGCTCCTCTGCCTACCTGTGGAAAGCCCCCAGCCGAAGCTCCAGCATGAGCAGCCTGGTGAGCAGCTACCTGCAGGTGAGCCGGGGAGGCTGGAGTTTCCCTGCCGCAGCGTCAGCCAGGGCTGTTTTTGCCCCTTGCAGCTCAGGGCGGTGTTCTCAGACATCTTTGTTCCGGCCAGAGCAACGAATCCTCAGTCACACCCAGTGTTTTCTAGAGTCCAGGTTTTTATGACTAAATAGAGCTTAGGTCTCTTAAAAAGTAAATTCTTTTAAAAAGCTTTAAGGTATTTGGAAAAAAAAAAAAAAAGCAGGTTAACATTCTGGTTAAAAGCAGCTGAGTCAAATCCCGACTGTCACCTACCAGCTGTGCTCCAGGAAGATGCCCGGCCCCTGGAAGCGTCAGCTCTCTCACCATCCGAAGGGGATCGAAAATCGCTGTGGCTGAGCGGGTGGTGGCTGAGCAGGTGGTGGTTGTGCGGGTGGGTGCGGGAGCACATGTCCTGTGCGTAAGGGCTTCACACAGCAAGTGCTCAATAAACGCTAGTGGGTAGGTCAGTTTTGGTAGTTTTGATAGAAACGTGAATGTGTCAGAGTTGCATATACAATAGTTTGTGGGAAAGGCTGTTGGAATTTTCCCACAAAACAAAACAAAGGGAATCAACTAAGCAGCATTAAGAGTAGAAAATTGCCTAATCCTTTACCCTGTTTTGTGGTCTAATCATCACAGGAGTTGTGGGCATAGTGCAATGGTGGACAGTAGTTTAAGTTAGTAACACTTTCATGTTACTAATGCACAGGAGGCTGAATGGGAAGCAAGTTGTGAGTCGCGGGCGCTCACGTGTGTGGCCCTGGGGCTTCAGGGTGTGCTGCTGGCAGCTGCTGTGAGCAAAAGGGTCCTCGTCCTTTGAATAGCTCGATGGACTAGCCTTAGGTCATGTAATTGCTATCTTTTTACTTCTGTTCTCATTAAACTCTAAAGCTTTTCCAAATAGCCACGTAGCTTCATCCCAAAGCCGTGCTTTTATTTTCCCCCCTCTCTTTTCCCCCGCCCCCAGACTCAGGAAATGTCCACCAGCCTTGACCTGAACAGCTCCTTGAACAACGAGGCCCTGGAAGGCTTCGATGACATGCGTGTGGAGCTGGATCAGCTGGAGGTGCGGGAGAAGCAGCTGCAGGAGCGCATTCAGCAGCTGGACCGAGAGAACCAGGAGCTGCGGGCAGCCGTCACCTCCCAGGGGGAGCAGCTGCAGGTGGAGAAGGAGAGGGCCCGCTCCGCAGCCGAGGACAACGCCCGCCTAACGCGCATGACGGCTGAGCTGCAGAAGCAGTGGGAGGTCACCCAGGCCACACACAGCACCGTGCAGGAGCTGCAGAAGTGCCTGCAGGCCCTGGAGCCAGGCCCCGCGGCGGAGGGGGATTCCCCGTTGGCCCTGCGGCGCCTGGAGCCCATGCTGCAACGCCTGGCGCAGGAGCTCGAGGCCACGCGGGACGCGCTGGGCAGGAAGGACCAGCTTTCAGCTGACGCCCCAGGTCCGGGCATGGCCGAGCAGAAGGCAGACGTGGCACCCGACACAAAGGGGGGGCCAGAGCTCGACCCCAGTGCCTCGGCCCCGGCGATCCGGCAGCTGGGGGAGAAGCTTCACGCCCTGGAGCAGGAGAGCACCAAGGTCCAGGAGCTCAACAGGCAGCAGAGCACGCAGCTGCAGCAGCTGGCCAGGGAGCTGCAGCTGAAGGAGGAGTCGCGGGCCGGCCTGGAGCGCGTCGTCAGGGAGATGGCCTCGCAGCAGGAAGAGCTGTTCGCGAAGAGGAAGGAGGCCACCCAGCTCCGGCGCCGGCTGCAGGAGTCGCTGGCCCACATGAGCACCATGGAGGAAGAGCTGGCGGAGGCGAGGCAGGGCGAGCGGCGGCAGCGCGAGGAGAAGGACCTGCTGCAGCGCGAGGCCAGGGCCCTGACCCGGCAGCTGCGGCTCCTGGAGACCCAGCTGGCCCAGGTGAGCCAGCGCGTGAGCGACCTGGAGGAGCAGAGGAAGCAGCTCGTCCAGGACAGAGACCGCCTCAGCGAGAAGGTGGGGACGCTGGAGCGGCTGTCTGCGCAGCCGGGCCCGCCCGTGGCGGCGGAGAGCAGTGAGGTGCCGGCCCCCCGGGATTCTGCCCTGCAGGAGGGGCCGATGGATGGTACTGCGGTGCAGGGGAGCGGCCAGGAGGAGGAGCTGCGGCAGGCCAACATGGAGCTGGAGAAGGAGCTGCAGAGCGTGATGGCCCGTAACCAGCGCCTGGAGGACAAGCTGCGGGCCCTGCAGGCCGATTACCAGGCCCTGCAGCAGCGGGAGGCAGCCATCCAGGGCTCCCTGGCCTCCCTGGAGTCCAAGCAAGCCAGCATCCGGCATATGGGTGACCAGATGGAGGCCAGCCTCCTGGCTGTGGTGAAGGCCAAGGAGAACATGAGGGCCCACATGGCCGAGAAGGAGGCTGCCCTGCAGAGCAAGGAGGCCAAGTGCCAGCAGCTGCGGGAGCAGATGGAGCAGTGCCGGCAGCTGGCGGAGACCCGGGAAGGGGAGCTCAGGGCTTTGGAGAGCCAGTGCCAGCAGCAGACCCAGCTGATCGAGACCCTCAGAGCAGAAAAAGGCCAACAGGGGCTCAGCCCGCCTCAAGAAAATGCATCCCAGGAGCTCGCTGCCCAGCTGGCCCTAGCTCAGGCACAGCTGGAGGTCCATCAGGGGGAGGCTCAGCGCGTGCAGGCTGAGGTGGTGGACCTCAAGGCCAAGCTCCAGGCAGCCCTGAGTGATGGAGAGAAGGTGCAGAGCCAGCTGAGCGTGACTGAGGCGGCTCTGCAGGAGCACAAGGCCCTTGTGCAGCAGCTGAAGGAGCAGAACGAGGCCCTCAACAGGGCCCACGTCCAGGAGCTGCTGCAGTGCTCGGAGCAGGAAGGGGCCCTGCAGGAGGCGCAGGCCCAGGAGGCCCATCTGAGGATGGAGGAACTGCAGGCCCTGCGGGGGGAGCTGTCCCAGGCCAAAAGCAGCTCCCAGGAAGCGCAGCTGGAGCATGCCGAGCTGCAGGAGCAGCTGCACCGAGCCAACACCGACACCGCCGAGCTCGGCATCCAGGTCTGCGCACTGACCGCCGAGAGGGAGCGGATGGAGGGCGTGTTGGCCTGCACCGCCCAGGAGCTCCGGGACGCCAAAGAGGCAGCCGCCAAGGAGCTCGAGGTCTTGAAACACCAGGTGGCGGAGCTGCAGCGAGAGAAGGAGGGCTTGCAGGAGAAGCTGAAGGCGGCCGAGGAGGCAGCCACCTCACTGCCTGGCCTGCAGGTCCAGCTGACCCAGGCCGAGCAGCGGGCCCAGGGCCTTCAGGAGACCGCGCACCAGGAGCTCGACACCCTCAAGTTCCAGCTGAGCACCGAGATCATGGACTACCAGAGCAAACTTAAGGTAATCCTGGCCTCGGCCACGGGCTGCACCTGCCTCCTGCGGCGGGACCCGGTGGGTTCATGAGGGGATCGGCGCACCTTCAGCCTCGGGCACCTGAGGGTCCAGGCGTTCGTAGTCCCGTCCCGCCGTCACAGCTCACAGCACCCTCTGCAGGACCATGCCAGGGGCCCAACATTGGAGAACGATGCCTTAGCCCAGAAATCTAAACTCAAGGCCATGCCACACAGGTTTGGCCCACAGAGTTTATTTTTAATTAATAGTCAACGTTCAAAAAAGCAGGATGCTTACACATTCACTTTGGGAGCACTTCTTTCAAAATCTGGAGAGATTATTTTTTTATTTTTAAAATATATTTTTACTGATTTTAGAGAGAAAGGGAGAGGAGAGAGAGAGGAACATCAATGATGAGAGAATCATTGATCCGCTGCTGTCTGCATGCCCCCTACTGGGGATCGAGCCTGCAACCCTGGCATGTGACCTCCTGATTCATAAGTCGATGCTTAACCACCGAGCCACACCGGCTGGGCTGAAATCTTGAGAGATCTTAAAGCCTAGCCCTCCTCCTGGGTGCGGCAGCTGGCAGCAGGAGCTGGGGGGGCACTGCCCACATTAAAGGGGACCGGCCTGCATCCTCTGGTATTTTCCTTGCAATCCTTTGTGCAGTTACCGAGCCCTTTTGGGCATGTGAGTTTGAGACCCCTGCTCTGGCCGCTGTGACCTACTGCAGAATGCCAGCCGTCCTGGCTGCCTGGAGGCCTGTGTCTGTCCCTTCGGGTGCCATTCTGACAGCAGGTGCGGTGGGAGGGAACCCACTCAGTTATCACAGGGCCCTGGAATAGATGAGCATAGCGGTCACCACGTGCCTTTGATGCTGCACAAAGAGAGTTAAAAGTGAGAACAGGAAGGACTATTCTCATCTATTCCAAGGGCCCCGCGATAAATCACATTTGTTTCCCCAGATGTGCCTCCCACCCTGTCCCATGAAGCTCCGTGGGGCTCAGAAGCCACTTTCCCCCTGCAGAAATGAAATTCTAGGTTTGGGGACCAAGCTAAGTCTCTCAGTAAACTTGCAAGAGTTTTATTACCAATGAAGCCTGACGCTTACTGAGTTTGGGGGGAAAGAGAGAGAGGGAGCTTGTTTTTTACCCGTTTGGGGAATGTGGCTGGGGAGTCTCAGAGCAAGGACCCCACTTCTGCGACCCCTTTCTCGTCCTCTCCAGACTGCCAGCGAAGAGTGCAGGAGCCTCCGGGGCCAGCTGGAGGTTCGAGGCCAGCAGCTGCGGGCCGCCAAAGAGACTGTGGGCAAGCTGGAGGTAGGCCTGGCCGGGGAGGGCCCCTCGGGGAGCCCCGATCAGAGGCTGGCACCTGGGAAGGGGAGACCCCTGTGGTGGCCTCCACCTGGTCGTTTCCTCTCTCAGTTTGTGGATCCTTTAGGGGCGAGGGGATCTGGTGTGAGGGGCTCCCCATAGCACTTCCCATTCCCAAGCCGAAGGGGTCATCAGCCCACTTTTGCAGACACCCTGAGTTTGTATCATGGTGCCTTTCGCTCCCCGAACACCTGGCTGGAGCTGCCAGATGTGTTTTTCACGCAACTGCTGGCAAGGAAAACATTGTCCTCCGGTTCCCTGCAGATGTGCTGAGTCAGTCAGTCTGAACTGAGCAGGGACTGGTGGCGCTGGAACGGCAGTCTTCAGGGCAGTGACCTTTTCACTGAATCCTGCTCCCTGCCGCCCGCCTCCCCCAGCCCCACCCTGGAGAGCCCGACACCTGCCTCCCCTCCAACCGCCACAACCGGCTGCCATGGATGCTTAAGGGACATCCTCACAAACCGGAGTGTGTCACTCCACAAACATCGACCAGAGGTTCTTGGCCTCACTTTAAATCCAACAAACAAACAAACAAAGTCCCTCCAGTTGGACGGGCCCAGCCAGATGGCGAGAGCACAGCCTTGGCTGCGTAGCGGCTGACACGTGCTCCTGCGCCTGAGTGTGTCCTCCCTGCCTCCTGTGCCAGGCCGCCCAGGCAGACATGGGGGAGAAGCTGAGCCGCACCAGCAGCCGCCTCTCGGAGTGCCAGGCCGCCATGCTGAAGAAGGACAAGGAGGGGGCCGCCCTGCGCCAGAACTTGGACAGGTTAGTTACGCGGCCAGCCGCAGGCTGCAGGGAAGGGTGTTGGGTGCAGTCATTTAGAAAGTCAGCCGCTCGTGAAGTTGAAGTTCTTTTTCAAGAAAAGCCACAGATCAGAAAGCGCTTGTGCCGGAAGCATGCCACCGAGAGCCTGACCACTCGCCCCTCACAGCCCTTCCAGTTCCACTTCCTTACCCCTGGCAGGCGTATTTCAGACTGTAGGCCGTGTTTTGGAAAAACTAACGGGAAGTAAAAGTTGGGATATAACAATGGCAATAAAAGCAGCAGACGTTAAATAATGCCTGAACTGGGACAGGCACCATCTTAAATACTTTACATCTAGTTGCCCATTTAATTACCCAATGAGGGCGGTGTTGTTTATTCCCATTTTATAGATGGGAAAAATGAGGCTCAGAAGAGTTCATTTGCCCTCCCAGGTCAGACAGGAGGTAAGCGGTGGTAGGATTGGAACCCAGACACTTTGGGCTCCAGAGTCTGTTTTCTCAACAATATCCGGACAGACGTGTGTTCTGCTTTACTGTGGGGCACTGGTGTGTGTGTGTGTGTGTGTGTGTGTGTGTGTGTGTGTGTGTTTCCCCCACTGTGCAGGTGCCTCGAGCTCTCCCTCGTTTTCCAAGCTCATCCTGACAGGGAACGCGCGTGTGCCAGGACCCTGGCCGGCTGGTGTTCCCACAGCTGCTCTGGTGCAGTGTCTGTGCAGAGCACATCACGCTCTCACCCTGTCCTCGTGGCTTTTTAACCTCACCGCTGGGGCCTCCGTGCGGCCAGCCCCTGCGCCTTCCCACCTTCAGGCCCAGGGACCACCTGGAGCACAAGCCCACCGCCTGGCGGGGGGCCCAGCTCATCCTGCCAGGGGCTGACGAAAACAGGTGTAGCAGGAGGAGACACAGGGACCGAAATGCACGTGTGCCCCCTCCACCCCCAAGCCAGGCACCCGACTGTGCCGAGGGTCTTACTTTTCTACCCTCCCCACCTCCCACCCTCCTCGGAGGCTGGGCCCACCAGCGGGAGACGCAGCGCATGTTGGGTGTTCAGTGACTGACCCCTGCTCCGTTAGCCAGGTCACGCTCACCTGGCAGTGTAAATAGAGCGTCCACATTGGTGATGGCGGTGGTTTTTAACACTGTAACTGGTTGTGAGGTCTCACAGCCATTGTTTTCGCCGCTCCAGGTTGCATTTTCCATGTGCCCAGTAGTGGGGTTTTTGTTATCCACCGTGTGGGCAGGCCGTGGTGGTCTGCGTGTACTCATTTTGGCGGACGGGGCCTAGGGCACACCCTCCTGACAACATTATTATGCCGGAGGTGAAAAGGCTGGATGAGATGCAAATTAGTTCATCTCTGCAGAGCCCTCTGTCTGCTGGAGCTTTTACAAACATCTGGTGGGCTTTGGGGCTTAGAGAGCATCCGTGGAAAACCACTGCCTTAGGGGACAGCCAGGCTGAACGTGCGGTGGGCACGGGCTGGCCACCGCGGCTCAGCCAGCACGCTCCGCGGGGCTGTCGGGTAGCACATCTCGCCGTGCCCCTGGAGCGCCCGCTGTGTGCCCGGCACCATGCTCTATGTGTAGAGTCGCAAAGACACAGGAAGGCTGTCCTCCTCCAGGTGGTCACCTCCAGAAAGCCGTGCCCCTCATTCCTTTCTGTCCTGACTCCGTTTCCTCTTGCAAACACTCCCCGTCCCCAGCACCAGCCCTGAGCCTTGTCCTACGGCTCCTCTTATAACCTCAGTCCAGCTCATCCTGGGGTGCTCGAGTGCCTGAGGTTCCCTGCTCTTCCAGAATGCCCCTTGTGTTTGGGGTGAAGAGTTTGGGTGTGTGAAGGGAGTGCTCAAGGCTGGCGGAGTGTGCCGCCTGTGAGCAGGCAGTGCCGAGGGGCTCCTTCACTGTGAGGGGAGGCCGGGAGGGCCGCGGGGCCCCATTCAAGGCCCAGGGGAAGCGGGAAGGAGTGGGGAATCAGGGAACGACCACTCGTCCACCAGGACCCAGAAGGAACTTGAAAAAGCCACGGCAAAGATCCAGGAGTACTGCAGCAAACTCTGCCAGGAGGCGAGAAGCCGGGAGAAGAATGACCAGAAGATGCTGGCGGACCTGGATGACCTGACTAGGACCAAGAGGAACCTGGAGGAACGGCTGATAGAGCTGCTCAGGTGAGTGTTGGTGTTTCTTTCAGGACGTGCAACTGCTCTTAACAGAACTCTCCATGGAAATGCTCATGTTCTGTTAAGTCCATGTGTCGTGTCCTCTCCCCAACCCTGCCACACACACACACACACACACACACACACACAGGCCTTCACATATAGGTTCTGCTCAGGCCCATGGCAACCTAGTGGGAGTGGATTTCGGTTTCACAATTTTTTCAATGGCTTATAATTTGCCTAAGGATCTAAATTAGATCTGTACATTGCATGGCGATATTTTTCTTAGATCTCTTTATTCTATGGGTTTCCCCACCATCTCTCTTAACTTTTTTTTTCTTTGCGATTATTTTTGAGAAAGCCAGGTCATTTATCTGGTCGTTCCCCCGTAGCCGGGATTCTGCTGATTGCATCCCCATGAGGTCATCTAACGTGTTCCCCAAGCCTCTGTATTTCCTATAAGTTGGTGGTCAGAGCAGTGCTTCTCGGCCCTGACTGCCCATTCGCATCACTGGAGAACCATTAAAAAAAATACTTACGTACGGCCTCACCCAGCCCCAGTGGGAGTGGGCTCCAGGCGTCAGCAAGCCAGAGCCAGGATCTCAGCTCTGCTAGAGGCTTGCTCAGACTCGGGTTCATGCCTGAGCTGTGTCACCCTTGTCCGTGCCAGCCGCTCTGCCAATGCCAGAGCCTTTTCTGCACGTCCCACGTCACCTCTGTGCCTCACGTGTGCCGTGCCAGTGAGGGGCCTGCGGAGCGTGGGGCCGCTGTGGGTGACGGGAGACAGAGAGGATGCGCTTCCAGGTGCAGGTGAAGTTCCTTCTGTGTCTTGGGGAATTTGTAGTTTGTTTTTGTTTTTTTTTAAATGAATCCGAGATAATTCCATTGTTTTCATGGATTCCTTCTTTTTTCTGACGTGGCTTTGTCCCAGGGACAAGGATGCTCTCTGGCAGAAGTCCGATGCCCTGGAATTCCAGCAGAAGCTCAGCGCCGAGGAGCGATTCGGGGACGTGGAGGTGAACCTCTGCTTTGACTGCAAGCGGGAGTTCAGCTGGATGGTGCGGCGGCACCGCTGCAGGTGAGCGGGCAGCACAATGGCCAGCGCCGCCCCCGGCAGGACCCGGAACAGGGCGGGCAGCCGCCCGGCCGCCCAAGGCTGTGCCCACAGGAGCACAGTGCCTTTTTTTTTTTTTTTTTTTTTTTAATATATTTTATTGATTTTTTTACAGAGAGGAAGAGAGAGGGATAGAGAGTTAGAAACATTGATGAGAGAGAATCATCGATCAGCTGCCTCTTGCACACCCCTCACTGGGGATGTGCCCGCAACCAAGGTATATATGCCCTTGACCGGAATCGAACCTGGGACCTTTCAGTCCACAGGCCGACGCTCTATCCACTGAGCCAAACCAGTTTCAGCCACAGTGCTTTTTGGTTATAAGGGACCTGGGCGAGGGGGGTGTCATAGGCAGGGGAATAGCAGGACACCCAGGGGTCCCGAAGGGAAAGAGCCTTTCCTACAGATGTGTGAGTGGAGTCAGGGGACCCAGGGGGACATGGAGCCCCCAGACCGGCAGCCCTGACCCTCCCTCAGCCTGAGGGACCAGGGTTTGGGGTGGGGGTGTTCCTGGAACCCAGGCCAGTGGGGCTAAAGCTTCCCTGGAGGAGCACAGAGAGCAAAGGCCCCTGGGGCCCAAAGACGGGCAGACAGAAGCGGACTCCAGTGGGGGCAGAGGGAACATCGCACGGCCTGGGGTCTTTCTCTGACACAGGCTCTCGGCCACACCCGGATCCGGTGTCAGGAAAGATGGTCTTGGCCGCACACTTGATCCCCCGGCCTCCCATAACCTTAGGAAACAAGACATTCTCCCACTAAACCTACCAGGGTGGCTCTATTGGGGTCTTATCGAGGGGCCTTACGGCCGCATCCTAAAGTGGGGGCAGCGCCAGGTGTGCCGAGAGCCACGTGGCCTCTAGACCCCAACCCACAGCCCCTTTCTGGTGCTGAGCAGGTGGCACAAGGCCCACAGCGCCGTCCTCACAGCCCGTGCTTGCTTGGTCCCCAGGATATGCGGGCGCATCTTCTGTTACTACTGCTGCAACAACTACGTGGCGACCAAGCCGGGCGGCCGGAAGGAGCGCTGCTGCCGAGCCTGCTTCCAGAAGTTCAGCCCCAGCTCCCCGGACAGCTCCAGCTCAGGCACCAGCCAGGGCCAGCCCAGTCCCGCTCTGTCGCCGGCCCCGGCTGGGCTGCAGGCCGCTGGAGGCCAAGGTCAGACTGCTGCCGCCCTCCTGGTTCCCCAGGTGCCACCCCCACACCGCCGCCCCATCTTGGCTAGTTAGCTGCCGCAGCTCAGTTCAGTGTTTTCCAAACCTGACCGTTAGAGAGGTATAAAAATGTAGCCCGACAATTTGAGACTTTCTTTATGATGTGCTCAGGATTGAACAAGAATTGAAAAGGGAATAACTTTCTGCCGGTATGACTCAGCTTTGTGAACGCGAGGTCCGTGTCCCCGTTAGCTCACCTACTGCCAGTGGCCGAACCCCACACATGAGAGATGCTCTGTCTCCCACAGCCTGGGCCCCGATGTCCCACCCTCTCTCCCAGAGTGACTGGAGGCCAGGAGCTGTGTCTGGAAATGACCGCCTCCTGCACCCCTTCCCGGGGCTCACGGTCCTCATGGCTAAGGAGGATGTGTTCTCCTTCGTGTCCTTTCACTCGGTGCAATAAAAGGAAGCGGGATTTGCTGCTCCCGCTCCCAGCACGGCCCAGCTGGCCAGCCCAGGCTGCTCTCGGGGGCTGGCCTGTGGGCGACCTGGGAGGCAGAGCCGGCGTGGCCAGGGCCGGGGGCGTCTCATCTCTGCTCAGGCAGCGCTGCCTGCTGGGCTACTCCCTGTGGTCTCCGTGGCCTCTGCCTGGATCCAGGGTCGCCAGCATCTTAACTGGATCCTCAGGAGGTTGGCAGGCCTCATTGCACACATTGGGTACAAAGAACCGCTCAGCGGAGGGGTTGGGGGATGGTCCTTGGCACGGCTTTAGTATTTCTTCACATCTTTTGCTCATTTAAAACCTTTTAATTATTGAATTTTGAGAGTCCTTTATATATTCTGGATATAAACTATTTACAGATAGGTGTTTTACAAATATTTCTTTCCCAGTCTACAGTCTATCTTTTCACTTTCTTTCAAACAGCACAAGTTTATAATTTTGATGAAGGCCAGTCTATTCATTTTTTTTTTTTTCTCATGGATCAAATTTTTTTATTTTGTGTATCCTATGTATCTTTGCTTAACCCAAAGACTCAAAGATTTTTTTCAAGTTTTCCTAGAAGTTGTACAGTTTTAGGTTGCACGTGTGGGTCTCTGATCTATTTTGCACTCATTTATGGATTTGGTACAAAGTCTCGGTAGAGATTCATGTTTTTAGTTTTTATTTTTTTTGCATGTGATTGTTTCACTACTATTGGTTGGAAAGTGTATTCTTTGTCAGAAATCAGTCTAGTCTTCCAATCCGTGAACGTAGAACAGTAAAATACTGTCTTTTGTCATTTCTCTCCGTGGACAGCAGTTTGGGTCCCTGATGCTCCTTGTGTCTGGGTCTCTACAAAGAAACCAATCCCTGGCCCCTTTTCAGCCGCTCCTCAGCCCTGTTACTATGTAGACTGCAGCCAGGAGGAAGAACAGAACTTTCCATCTAGAGCACGGCCCGTCCCGCAGCCATGTGGAGGGCCGGCAGGGAAACCTGTCGGTCGTAGGAACTGGCACCTTCTTTCGCTCTGACTCAGTGGTGCGTGCACTGGTGACCACAGAGGGTGGCCCTGAGCCAGCGCGCTGAGGTCATTTGTTTTGATTTCTGATTTCCTGTCTCCTCTTATCTCTCTGCCTTCCTCCCTCCCTTTCTGTCATTCTCTTCTTTCTTTCACCTCAGACCTGCCATCACATTTTCCATGACATACGCAAGGAGGTGCTTGTGGGTGGGGACGGGCACAGGAGCACACGCAGGGCATCCTTCCTGCCGAGTGCCCACAGAGCCCGACACCAGTGCCCTGGTCAGGGCCACAGTGGCCGCCACGAGTCCTTGAGCAGAGGGAGGTCTGGATGGGGATGAAAACGCAGGCCAGACAGAAGTCAAAGGGGCGTGGATGGCCGTGTCTCAGAGCGAGGACTCGGCCGCTCAGAAGCGCCTATGCTTTTCCGTCTGGGTCTTTCCTGATGAGGTTTCGATACATGTTTTCCCTTCTAGACCGGGGGCTTCAGAGGCGTGAAACCTCTCTAGGCCCCTGACTGAAGGGCTGCAGAGAAGTCTAAGTTGTGCGTCCAGTTTCCTCTGTAGTCCCCACTCTGCTTTTTTGGCTCTTCCCAGTAGCCATGTCCCGACAGCCATCCCTCGCACATCTGGGCAGAGGAGCTAAGGTTGGGTGGTTCCCTTCTGTGTGTCCCGGTGGCGTGTCCTGCGTGGCTGCACCCCTCACGTCCCCGAGGCCCGCATGACCGAGAGTGTTTCTCCTCTCTCCGGATCTGCCTCTGCGGTCCAGGCGCAGACCCAGACTTGAGGTCACCAGACGACACTGTGTTCGACATCATCACAGACGAGGAGCTGTGCCAGATCCAGGAGTCCGGCTCCTCCCTGCCTGAAACGCCCACCGAAGCCGACTCCCTGGACCCCAGCGTGAGCGAACAGTGAGTAGAGGTCACCGCCATTTCCCGAGCGCTCGTTCACTGCCTGGCCCTTGCGCTTGCTTACCAAAGGACAGGAAATGCGGGAGGGAGGACCGCTGTCCTTGCTTAAGGGAAGGTGCCTCTCCTCAGCACAGGGCTGGGGAGCAGTGGCCCTCAGGGCGTCCACGTCACCGTGAGCTTTGTCAGAGACGTCCCGGAAAGGCAGTGGTCCCGGATGTCAGCATTAAGGCCTTTCTTGGCGTGGGCAGCCACACCAGCCTGCTCAGGCTGCCATAACAGGACACCGCAGCCTCGGTGCTGACACACCAGGGGCCAGCTCCCTCGCTGTCCTGTAGCCTGGAAGCCCAGGTCACGGAGGTGGCAGTTTGGTTTCTTCTGGGACCTTTCTCCTGGGCTTGCAGACCGTGACCGTGCCTCCTTGTGGTGTCTGCAGGTCACCTTGGTGTGTCCTACCTCCCCCTCGTACAAGGACACCGCTCAGATTGGGTGAGGGCCGGTTGTCCAAAGGCAGCCACTTTCTGAAATCTGAGGGTTAGGACAGCAGCATGAGTCTTGTTCTTGCCAACTCATATTGATCTCTCTTCCTCCCCGAATTGAGAGGCAGCTGTCACCCAGGGTTTCTGCTGCGTGGGAGGGGATCCATTCAATCATCCTGAGACTCTGAGCAGGAGATTTTAGGCTTAAGGGGATCTCTGTGTCCAGTGTTCTCTTACTAAAGAGTGACTGCACTTACCACGGTGTGGCCTCATGGATAGAGCCAACCTGATCACCCACCCAAGAGAGCCCCTGCTCATGTTGCTTCTCCGGCTCTGGGCCTTTTCCTTCTGGAACCTCCAGAATCCTTCCGGCAGCCTGCGTGTTCTCCTCAACCCTCACGGCCCAGCGGTCCCCAGGGTGTGTTCCGTCCCGTTAGCACTAAGTTGCTGTCTGCCGCCCTCCCCTGGCACCTCTTCACTGGCATTGCCTCGCTGCCCAGCCAGGGGGTGGTCAGCTTAGAGGACCGAGCTTCGGGGCTCGGAGGGCAGCCTCGGCGGCAGCTGCATGAGAAAGTGAGCCCCCTGCAGCTCCGGCCCGCACCTTCCCCTTTCCCAGGGGGAAAACAAAGAGAGAAGGTGTTCAGCATGCTGACAGATCTGTGCGCTTCAGTCACGGGAATCAGGAAGTGTCCCGGGGAAGGAAACTGCCAGCGCTTCTGTGAGGCTGCCTGCGTTGTGATGTGTAGGGCTGTGCTGGCATGTCTGCTTGTGCCCGCTGAGCTGGCACCTTGAGGCCCCCTCGTCTTCTCCAAGGAAAACCCCTCCAGATGCCCAGGTGATACTGGGCTTCAGCTCACCCACACGGTGTTGTGGCTGCTAGCGTTTAGAGCTGATGCTTCGTGGTCATGTGCTTCTGGTGGCCGCGGTGGGTTTGTCACCAACCAGGAGACTCGATGCCTGGTATCTCAGCGACAAAATGAGAACAGGATATGGTGATGCTGACTAAGGTTAGGAAGCCACGCTGTGCTTGGGTTAACCAACAGCTCTGCCTTCGGGTAAGTCTGGCAGGTACCTTGGTCCCGTCAGCAAAGCCTCACCAACTTTTGGGGGAGGAGAAGGGCTCCTCACTGGGGTCCTAGCCCTGGTTCTGCTGAGTGAGCTTTGGCAGGTAATGGTCTCTGGATTCCTTTCCTCGCCTGCAAAACGGGGTTGGCCGGTCCCGTGAACCACAAACCGGAGGGGCTGTCTTTGGAGCCCGGGGAGGAGAAGCTGGAGGGCACGGCCTGACGCTCCTGGGCCGCGTGTTCCTTGCTCTGCCTCCTGCCCTTTCAGAGGTCCCCCCGGGAGGCTCCCACGCAGCCTCTGCCTCAGGTCACCCTGTGTTCACAGGGGACAGAGCGGCCATCTGTGGTCTCTACCAAGTGTTGCAAATGTGGTTGGCGAGGAGCACTTTCCTTACCTTCAGACCCTGAGGCCACACCCCAGGCAGAGTGCCCACGCCCAGCCTGCTCTCCGTCCTCCCTTCCCCTGCCCCCACATGCTCCCTTTTATATGTCGTGCTGATGTGCGTGAGAATATGGGGGCCGAGGGGAGAAGAACAGTTCTGAGGGTGGGACTTCTGGGCTGTTGTGTGGATGGAATGAAATCAAGACGCAAAAGCCCTGAGGTGTGCGTGGGCTGGGCCAGGATCTGTGGCCAGTAATGAGTGGCGTGTACCCAGGGCGGAGGTGGAAAGTCATCCCTACTCCCAGGTGTCTCAGGTAAGGGCCCAGAGAGGGTAGGACCAGCGAGTGTGAGGCAGGAAGGAGAAGGTTTCAGCTGCTGTGCGATTCCTGGGTTTGCTAAGCTGTGGAAGGCCCAGGGATGGAGTACGGACTGGCGGTGCCTGGTCAGGGAGAAGCCACTGGTCCCAACAGTGGCCCTTGTGTTGCTGTGGCCAGGCAGCCCCCTGCTTGGCCCTTGGAGCGCACTGTCCAGGCCTCCCTGTCACTAGCCAGGGGTGTGGGTGGTGACGTGGGCCTGGGGGCCTGAGGGGCTTTCCCAAGGACACACAGAGGTGGGGCTGCCACTGAGCCGGGCTTTGAGTGACCCAGGGCCCTGCTTTCCCATCACCACCGCCTCCCCCCACAGAAGCCTGTGGAGAAGCTGCCGGGCCTCGCCTCCTGAGCTGGGACCCTGTCAGGGAAGTCGGGCTGGTGGCCCCGCTGTCAGGTGCTCAGCGAAGGTAATGCCCCACTGAGGCCAATTTAAAGAGGATAAAAGTCTGCCTTGGCCCAGGAAAAGAGCAGATCTTGTTTGGGACGGACTCGGTGATCATGAGGCCCGAGTTGAGGAAAGTCACTCATGGATGCATTGGGCACGGTTATGAACCAGCAGGTGGGGTCACGTGGGCCCTGTGCCAGCTGGTGGCATGTGGCATGCCACGCCCCTCTGAAGGCGCGAAGCAAACCCTCCCGAGCCTCGCAACACAGCGGCTTCCATTTTGTGTTGCTAGTTTTTGTTTTTTTAATTTATCGGGGTGACATTGTTAATGAGATTATATAGATTTCAAGTATACATCATCTGTATATTGTATTGTGTGCTCATCACCCTAAACCTACCCTCCTCCGTCACGTATTTGACCCCCCTGACCCTCTTCAACCTCCCCCCACACTCTTCCCTCTGACAACCACCATACTGTTGTCTGTGTCAGTGAACTTTCTATTTGTTTCTTTTGTTTGTTCATTTGCTGCCTTTTGTGTTATTCCCTCCACAATGAGTGAGAACATGATTCTTGCCCTTTCCCATCTGATTGATTTTGCTTAGCACGCGACTCTCAGGATCCATCCATGTTGTTGCACATGGCTGTGTTTCATCCTTCCTTGCAGCTCAGTAGTATTGCTAGTTCTCGGGACAAGCCCTCCTGCCCACGAATGCGAACTGTGCCCAGTGCTCTGTTTGTATGGCCTCCAGTCCGCACGCCAGCCCAGGAGGTCAGCCGTGGTACAGTCCATGTCTCACCAAAACAAGAGAGGTGAAGAGATTACCAGCTAGTGAGGGTCAGAGCTGGATTCACCTCTGGTCCATCTAAACCTCAAAACCACACTGGTCAGCCCATAATTCTGCCTGCAGAACAGCTGGTGTCAGCTGCCCTCCTTTTTCAGTGAGTGACTTGTGACTCATGAACCAAGAGGCAACTTTAAACCTAGTGAGCAGATAAGTAGGATCAGACACGCAGTGTCTGACATTTAAAACTCTGCCTCATTCTGTGACCACACTATGGAGGTTAAACAAATACACCTCACATGGTGGGCAGGAGATTGGAAACCACATTGAAGGCGCTGGGTGGTTTTCTCTGGTATATTCCACTTCCTCGGTAGAGCAGTGCCCTGCGAGTTTGCAAGCCTAACTTCTTTCCTGTGCCTTGAGCCCACAAATAAGCTCTTGATATATACCCGGCATGCCATATTAAAGTAGAAAGTGCTCAAGGGGTAAAAGTAGTTTGGAGACTTTTAAAAGTTTTATTTCTTAGTCATGAAAACCATATGCTGTTTGACATATGTGTGGAAGAGAAAGAATTACATATACATAAAGAATTTGTGCATACATATGTGTGAAAGGCATAGGATAATCGTGTTGTTGGTTTTTTAAAATTTTTTATATTGATTTCAGAGAGGAAGCGAGGGGGAAAGAGGTGGAAACATCAATGATGAGATAGAGTCATTGATTGACTGCCTCCTGCACACCCTCTACTGGGGGACCACACCCACAACCCGGACATATGTCCCAACCTGGAATCCAACCGAGACCTCCTGGTTCATGGGAAATGCTTAACCACTGAACCATATCAGCCAGGCAGATAATTCAGTTTTAAAATGAGCAGACCCAACATAGACTCCATTTCAGAACATTTCGTAGATTCACGGCGATCTTACACTCAGCTATGCACAGTTTTCTAGCATTCTGTGGACCTCTGGGATTCTCAGCTGACTAAATTGTTTTGGCCTGTTCATATTCCCTGCTGCTAGTCCTCCCAGGATTAATCACCGAACAAGAGCGTCAAAGTTAAACCAAAAGTGAGGCAGAACCTGTCCTCCTGGGTGAGGTGCCTGGAGATTGAAGCTTGAGCCCAAAGGAAAAGGGTCAGCACTTGTTCTGGTGGCTGCTCTCCTCCCTGCCTCCCCAGAAACCGGAAGAATCTCCTGAACTTGGGAGCTCAACACCACCTGCTGTCAGCTCTGTGGTCATGGTACCTCTTTAACCTTCAGTGTCAGTCTCAGTAAAGGAGAAGCTGGGGTGTTTAGACACACCATTCCCCCGGGAGTCAGAATTCTCGGAGATGGAGGAAGGAAACCCCTCACAGCTTTTAGGTTCCCCTGTGAGCTGTAAGCCTGGGAGAGAACACGTGTGTTCCTGCCTGAGAAGAAGCACTGCACACCAGCTGCAGCGTGTGGTCGCTTCGCCACGAAAATGCACAAGCTATACACAAAGCCTTCCCCGCCGCCCGAGGACACGCATTCTGTGCTGCTGGAGTCCCCGGGCAGC